ACTAAGGGTGTTTTACTGCATACAACGATAAAAATAACACATAACAAAATCTTAATGATCGAACTTTCTAGCTTTTAGAAAGCACCATTAGTAAATATCATTACGGTTTTTAAACAGTTACACGATAATCTATCAAACGTTATTTTATCGTCTTATTTTTATTACAAACGATAGTTCATGCATCTGAAAGTAATAAACATAGCCATTATAATTAATATCAAATGTATATTGCGAGTTCAGTTATAGGTTTCGGTGAAACGACTGTCTCGGGTCATCATTTAAATTACATACGCGTGTAGCTAAATAAATAATTTGCCAAAAGCTAATTTATTTAATGTTGTAAGTCGATGAGTTGTTTGCCTTCTTAATCTAAATGCATATAGCTATTGAGTCATATAAATCTCGTGATTTATAAGAATTATGAATTTGTAAAAGTCAAACAGCTTTTTAATATAAGCAAATAGATATTTTGATGTATAAAGTTCAGTTCTTTATTTATACTAGCGTCTATGTTATCCCGCGACTGATGTTACTTCCTGTAGATGAATAAAGTTTTATTATAGATCCAGTAGTTTTGGTGCCCATTCAAATACATTTTGGCCGGTATGTATGTAAGAATGTAAGAAGCGTCTTAGTTGTCCGCGTGCTATATGCTATGTGACGACATTAAATTGACAACAGCTCTCTAGAGAGCATAAAGTAAGAAACTAAATATATATATTATTCAATCATACCGTGTAGGGTATTAAATGAAAGGGCTTAATTAGCACATTTAAAATAGATATATGTATTGAGTGGGTTTTATCACGCCTACAGTTAAATCAAGCTGTCCAAAGTTTTAAAGAAGAAAATAATTTTAATCACTATTATAATATAGCTATAAAATAAATTTCTTGCTTTAAACATTTTAGAGCGCGATTTAGCTGTAGACGGGTTTTGGTTTTTGGCCTTATTTAATATATTTGTAAGGTCAATATTATTAATAGATATGTTACGGAGCTTGATTCACATAAATTAATTAGTATTTAATAATTATTTAAATCAAATTTTATCCTTGATTCCGCAACAAGACTAGTCTAGCTAGTTCTAAATATTGCATAAGGGGTAACTCGTGTTACATGTTTAAAGATTGAAAGTTAGATTTTGTTTTCGGACTAATAAAGAAAGTCAAAAACTTTGACGCTTGATTGGCGAACTGATAAAAACGTTCTGTAATTGTTAGTGAATGACTTGGTCATTTCAGATTCGACTATGATTGATCTTAAACATGTCAAAGTTGAGTGGATTATTAAGCTTCAAGCTCGAGAACAATGTTTCTAATTCTTTAAAAATAATAGTCCTCAGATCAAAACGATATAACCCTTGGAAGTTCCAAATGCACTACATAGTCAAAGCAAATAAAACTTTTCACTTTTTTGCACGCTTGCAAGCATTTCTCCGTATACTCTGCATAACTCTCGAATCTCTTCGATGTCAAGTGAATTTATTTTACACTAGCTTTCTGCCAGCACCTTCGCTCGCATGGTCCCTAGGGAACTGGTTAGTGGTATAAAAAGTACATATTAATCTATTCGAGATTAACTATGCTCTGCGTCGGTCTTAACGCGGGTTAAAGTTAATTGAATTTGTTTTTGTAATAACTACGTTAACGTCGTACGTAAACATACGTGTCAACAACGGTCGGCATTAAAAAAACACCCCACTCTGGACGGCCAAATGTGGAAGGCCTACCTGGTGAAACCCGCTGCGGTTTACTTCATGCGGATAGGAAGAACCTGGTATCATGCAAAGAGAGCACGGTTTTTACTATCGCGATGAATGGAGAGGAGTCGCCCTCTGTGGGAAGGAAGAAGTCTATGTCATCTGAGTATAATGTGTCTTCCTGTAACATCCATAAATAAATTGGTCCTGTTGTTTCGAAGCCTATTCTATGCAAACAAACGATCAAATCTTTTCTCTCTATAATAGTACTAGTATAGATCAAAATGAAATGAATATATCTTTATTTAAGTAAGCTTGTTACAAGCACTTTTGAATCGTCCAAAATCTTTTTTTCCTCTACCACTTATTCGGGACGTCTTTTAGCTGACAAGAAGAACAAGCGAAAGAAACTTACCAGCTCTTTATCATTTGTATAAGTAAATATTCCAAGTTCATGGTTGATTATTATTATTGTCTATTGCAAGACATTACTCACTGTAATCAGGCTGTAAAAACCGACACATATCTAATGTCTAATAAAAATAATTACCAAGACCCTTATTAGACCATTAGACCATTTATTTTATATTTATTACATCTTTTATATATTTCGGCCTCATTATTTCAGTAATGTTACGTATTATTTATTAACTTATGTATGTATTTCGAATTTATCGTCTAGAAAAAATAACGCAAGATGTTGTTTTTATTGCATTTTTTGTCAAGGACTTGTGAAGTTTTGAATATATTTATGACAGATATTAATACTGATGGTACATAAAAATGATTTTAAAAATGTTTCCTAGTAATTTTTTCAGTGACTTTTATAATTCTTCCTATAAAGTCTTTTTGGGGATCCCGTACAAAAAAATGCAAACGGATCATATTAAAGGGGCACTCGATTGTCTGTTTGGCCTACTATATCAGCCTAACAGCTTAAATAAGGTTTGTTAACTCTATTATGTTACAAATTAATTAAAAGAACTTATTATGAGAATCTCTTTTATATTTCTGTATATAATTGTAATAAACATTTTTATTTTGCTTAAAAAGATTAAAAATGGTTAAACAACGATCGCTAAAATTAAGAAAAAGAAAAATATTTTTATATCTATATATTTCAAGAAACAGTTACAATAAGTCTATAGTTTTTAAACCATCACTCGACCTATTAGGGACATTTTAAATAGTAGGATACTTTTGGTTTGCATTTGATAGATAATAAAAACAGTTTGTGTATCAATAAGCAAATCGCTCTCTTTTCCCCTTTGGTTTAATTGAGATGCATTAACCGTTAAAAAGGTAGAAAGTCACACTTCCCATCACGATAAGGTGTTACATTTACAAGGCGAAATCGTGAATAGAACAACGCAACGCCAACTCCTTAATCTAGTCACCACCAGACCAGTTTTGTAGGCATTCCATTTCTCAACATTAATTGTCGACCTAACGTTGCTTAATTTCGATATGTCGAAGTTGTAAGAGTCCAATAAAATGTTTCTATTGTTTCGCGCGTCGTAATCTGATTAGTGGTTAATATGTTGGTCTTATGATTAACTGCCTGCTACAATAGTTTTGGTAATAACGAATAGATGTTGAGTAATGCCGTTTCTAAATGAAACTTGTGAAATACATATTTTATGTTCTCATCAATTACTGATCTGTTTTATTTGATGGTCGTTATAATTTAAATATCATAAATCATACGAGATTGCGATTGAGCACCTTTAAATGAATATAATACTACCAAAATAAATATTGTGCGATTTGAATGTTCTTAATTTATTCGAACACGATTCTAATCTGTTTTGATATTCTGCTATTTTATTTATCGAATTTTAAAATAGTTTTTTAAATAAAAGTACAAAAATATGGACTTGTCTTGCCGTTTTCGATTGCTTTAGAATTGTAAAGCAGTACACTCATAGTAAAAACGGTTGAATGACATTACCTTAAACGACTATAGTGTTATGGATATTATGCGGAGGTAAGTGTACATTCTAGACGACTTTTCGAGCCATGAAATTGACCATGTAATTTCGAGGCAATCCTCTTTGGACCTTGATAAAAGTGCAAGCATATGAGACATTTATCAAGAAATGTAATTCTGTTCTTAAATTATCGATGAATGGAATTACGTATAATTGGGTATTATTGCTAGTATATAAAATGAACAATGATTAATATGAAATTTTATCAACAATGTCTTTCAGAACAATTTGTCATTATATATATATATATATATATATATATTTGTAGTTTGTAAGTAAGGTAAGTAATATATTTTAATGTTTAATTAAATTTTAACTTTATTTTATATAAGAAATATAGAACATTGTTAGACATGGTTTATTTCTTGGTAGAGGGTACTACTGACATGCATGACGTAGTTGCGGCGTGAGTTTACTTGCTGACTTTTGCTACAATCCATACCCTAAAATACGAAGCGACAATATCTGTAAAGTTTAATCAAGAATTTATTTAATATAAAAAGGAGATAACAGACTAAATTAAATGAACTGCTAAAATTTGTGTCTAAATGAATTTATAGAACTTCCACTCTTATATCGAAAGAATTGGTAAAATAAATGATATGAATCTTTAATAATTTTATCAAATCAATGGATTGAAAGTAATATTCTTATTAAAATAGAAAGTTATAGTGCACAATTTTTTGGACGTCCATTTTGTACTATTTAAACTAATGACATAATATTGACTGTTATCTCTTTTTCCATTTTTCTAATTTATCTGAGTTTAGTACGTTGCATTACACGTACAAAAGCGACTTAATTATTTAAAAAATTGCTGTTGAAGTCGGGTAGAGGTTTTCTGTAGAATATTAAATGATAACCGCCCGTAACCTATACCACAATTCAAGAAGAAATCGGTGAACATAATACACATACCCGATAAACATTCCGCCTTTCGAATTATGAATAATTGCGATCTAAACGCTCGCTACCTTTTGTTTTTGCTGATGTGAAATGAATATATGAAACATGTCGTCTAAATGTTTTAGTGAAATTTGGTGAAAAGCATATTTATTTTGTTGTAATAAAAAACTACCATAAACTATCTAATAAAATAATAATTGAAAATAATAATCGAAAACATAATCTGCTAATCTTAGATTTCGAAGTCGGTTAAAAAGCTAAATTAAATTGCAATCTGCTTATCTTCTCTAATTGACCAGATACCACATTTTTCTATACGATTTATGATCGTACTACGTTGCACACTTTTTAGTCGATCGTGTAATAGCAAGCTGCGCTCGCGCCGGCCACAATGGGCGCAGCGGCAATACGGAGCAACCTTCGAAAGGAACCGCACGTACACCCGGATATTTTTACAGTTCTATAGATTTATTTATACATATACCAATATGAAGAGTTTAATAATAGTTCTCAGCTTAGCCTGTGGATTAGGTAAGTCAAAATTAATATATTTATTAACTTTTGCCGTTTGATTGTGAGCTTTAAGCTATTTTAATGAGATTCTTTTGATTGTGTTACAATATAAAGATAAGACTATTGTGTCGAATGTTACAAATTATATGAAGGTACTTGTATAAAAGTTTTTCCTCAATTTTTTCCACATACCTGTAAAACTCTAAACTTATTCAATAGTATATATTTAGTTGACATTTAATTGTTTTTTCACAGTGCAATATAGAAAAACTTTTATAAGGTTATGTTGCACTGCTCAGATATGTAAATGAAACTGCACTTACTTATTAGTTAGTGACAATTTTTGATTTATTATTATTATATCACTCATATTTTATAACGTTGGATACTCGTAGTTCTTTATACTATGACTATAATCTGATAGAATTCGACAAAATTATGTTGGAATGTAGCACGTTTCAATTTATAAATAGATTACATGATATTTAGTTTGCTATCTTATATATCATATATTTTCATGAAATAAGTCTTGAGTAGTACGGTGTAAACTTACATTTTTTCCAATGTGTCGCCATGTATTTGATAGAAAAATAAAACTTTATAGATGTTCAATTATAAATTAAAATTTTAGTTATAAACATTGCGGAGATACGTAGGGTAATAAAAAATATATTAGAACCACATACGTTACACTAAACAAAAAAATAAAAAAATAATATTAAATCAACAAAAAAAAGGTTGCCTTAGTATAAAATTATAATAATATGTCTCTCTTTAAAAAGTGGATAGTACAAATAAAATATAAATTCAATTAAAATAATAACTAAAGTAAAAAAAAAAAAATAATTGTAGAAAGCAACATTTCTTATCGTAAATTGTATTTACTGACATTATTTTTAAGAGAATTGTTACTACCAATATGACCCATATTGTTATAACCTACTACCTGAAATAAACCTAGTCTATTAACGATTCCCTCTCTGGTGCACCGAATCCTTGGATAGGGCTTAGAGATATAAAAACGTTTATTTAACATTGCAAAAAAGAGTCAAGAGCGACTAGAACTCGCGCACCGAGGGCCCCTCACAATTATTTAATATTAATCACTACAGACTATTTATAGGTTTTCCTTTAAACTATAGGTTAAAAATTAAGATATGTTATTTATTTTAGTAAGAGACAACAAAATCATTATTTACAAAGCGTGTCAGTTATAATGTAAATCATATTGTAATATATAACAAAATTATGACTATAACTACTGATATTTATTTATTAAACACTTGAAGTACAATTAATTAGAACACAGATCATCAATATGTTAATTACTAATATTACGAGTGCTGTATTAAAAAAAAAAACATTAAAAAACATTCATTTGCGTACACCAATCAAGATTGCATTTATCATCAAACTTATTAAATATCAATTGCCATTTAATATTGGTTGCACAGATATTATTGGTTAATATCTATAATTGTAGTTCCACAGCTGCGCTTAGAGCCGTCTGTTATAAAATGAATAATCGTTTATACCTAAACTAATCGACTATGTCGCGTTTTTAGGCAATACGTAATTATTTGAACGTGCAATCTAGTCTGAATCATAGAACAATATCTTATGATAATATAAGTTCTAAACTTTGAATGAGTTTAAACAGCTTTGAATCTTGACAGTATGTCTGTTGTTATATTAGATTAAATAGATGAAATCACTTAATAAAAAGATTTCTTAAATGAATATGAAAAATATGAGTAGTATTGTATATTGACAAAACTTCATTTTAAAGAACTCTTATCGTTTCGAATATAGTGGTACCGTTGCAAAATTCATGGCATATGTAGTAGTGGCATTAAACAATATACTTTATAACTTTTAATATTTTGTACTAAGCCCGATCACACTCCGTTGTTCCTCGTTAGAGCTTTGAAATAAAAGGACATTTGTATAATTTTATAGTTTATATATTGTTTTCTTATTATCAAATTAAACGTATTTCAGAAATTTGGTTTATTATAGACTGATTTTATAAAAGTATTATATTATTAATATAAGTAAAACCTTTGAAATCAGCCTCAGATTTTACTCGTCCGTCGAAGGTCAGATTCAGTCTGGTTTTTTAAGTATCGATTGAAATCGAGATTTCATAAAATCTAATATTAAATATATCCATAAAAAGGTCAAATGCCATCGAACAGGCTAATAAGTAGGCGAGTGACTTTGTATGAAAGGCCGTTAGAATAATAATTCATGCTAAGATATTACTGAGTGATAGTGCGAAATAGTGATTTGTCACCTTGACTTTGAGTTTATTGTCACTGTAACACACTTAAGAACCTTTAGGGTCCTGATAATTACAGTGTTAAGTGTAGCGATGGCGTAATAGGTAAGTGCCAAAGTTCACGATTGTTGTGTGTTAAGCAACTTTCTCGAAGGTCGGTCACGGGGTGGTTGACGAAAAATTATAATCTCGAGCTACTGTGAGCTACCGTGTTTCGGGAGGCACGTTTATCCGTTGCTATCGGCTACATTTGCAGTCATTAATACCCTCAAATCCGCATTGGGCCAGCGTGGAGGGTCGTGGCCTATCCTCCTTAACCGTCCATAAGGAAGGCCTAAGCCCCGGCAGTGGGGACGTAAAAGGGGCTGATGATGATGATGATCTGTCAAACGCCTCACTAAAGTATGCATTAGCATTCAACGGATCTTACGTATAACTCGTACAAGCTAACAGGACTTATAGTGGTCTGAGTACTTGAAGACCTGAAATTGTACGACTTTTATAGAATGAATGGATACAGCAAAATAATCATGGCGACAGTAGTCTCCAGGCAATGTTCAATGTAGATGACTTGTGGAGACGATCGTATAAAAAAGAAAAAGACAGAACAGTAACTTCAGGCAACCAACTAGCTATACAACTAGCATAGCTAGTGGGGTTGGGTCCGGAGCTCTCCTTGCAGGATTTCTTATTTCCCTTGACACTTCCTAAAGAGACTCTTTTGAAAAAAGTAGTAGTTGTATAGCTATCAATTAAAGTACTTACATATAACGCGACAGGCTTTACAAAGGTCTACTATTTTACACGTTCGAATAATAACTATTTTTAAATAAATTTTGACGAGTGAGAAGTATTTATGCAAATTGCGAGGGATCGATTAAACTCTAGCGAAAATCGGCACAAATGAATAAATAAATCGTTTATAATTTATCAGAGAAAACAAATTCGGTAAACCTCACGTGCTGTCACCAATATTTAACAACCGCCATAGTCTATTTAAGGCACGATATCAATGTCGCCAATTCTTCTCAAAATCGAACAAAAGGCTTCAATTCCAGGTCGGGTTCAACGTAGTAAATGAATTCTGGTTAGATCGATACCTTACCTTCATTATTTCGGATTTCCATAAGACATGAGCTAAAATCTACTTAATTTGGGATATGTGCAAAGTATGTGATATTATCTTAATATTTATTTTAAAAAACTTGATAAATTTGGGCTGTATTGGCCAGACGATAAACCAATAAAAGAAAATGAGTCATAGAAATAGCCCTCAGTCCGCATACGGACTCCGGCGACCAATATAAATATCCATATGTGGTCCAATAGTCACATTTACGACATGTCTTACACACCAGCTGGACAATTACTTCGGATTTTCAATAAACAAGAGCTAAAAGCTACATAACTTTGGATCTGGGCATGTATATGTCAACTATATTATTAGTCGATATTAGAGTAGTCGATATTAGACAGTCGATAAATCGACCAAAAAAGGTATTGAGTTATAGAAATAGCTCTCGATCCGCATACTTAGGCGGCCAATATAATGCACATAGGTGGTCCAATAGTCACATTTACGACATGTCTTACACACAAGCCGGTTAGCACGTCGCGGGGTGGTTTCGACAAACACAATGTTTCCGTGACAGTGCTCAATAGCCAAAATGGCCTTGCAACACATCAACTGAATTTACTGGAGCAACAAACTGCGGGACGCGTGAGTGAAAGGAGGACGGCATTTGAAGGCTTGATCGGGCTATATCGACGCTATTGTGGGATTATTTTCGGTTATATGAGTAAGCGTAGGCTTAGGCGTAGTTAAAACTCGGAATAAGAGTTTGGTTGTTTGCTGAACTGAAGCGGGTTTTTTAATTCTTTCACGTTCGAGAAGCTATATCGTACGCGGATGTAGTAAGCATTAACACCTTTTTTTAATACAGGAAAATATTATCAGTACACGTTTATTTTTCTATAGTCTAGTATCATTGATAAAACATCGTAAATATTACGAAGAAAATCCTATTTAAATAAAATATTATATTTCAATATTTATTAATATTTTCATTTTAATAGTAGTAAATAAACTGTAGGTATATTGACAAAAAAGGTCATCGACCTTCCTGTACTACTGAACTTATAACTACTGGCATATAGTAAATTAGATTTACCGTAATAAATACGATATTTATTTTGTGCACTGATTATAAATTTTCTTAGAATGGGAAGATTTAACGTTTACAAATATAAAATATTTATAAAAATTGTAACAAACAAATATAAAATATATCAACTTCGAGGAAAGTTTCTAAAAGTTCACCTGTGTGTCCTAGACCTAACCTTTTTTTAGAAACTCTCCTTTTTATAATTGAAGTTACTAGCCTTCTCCAGGATTTAGTGCCTTTTATATATAGGTACTAAATATTTTGTTAGAAAGGGGAATTTCCAAACAATATAAAATTAATACACCATCAGTGCTATTAATAAACAAGGTTCAGCGTCAGAGTAAATTTACGCTAAAATTTAAATTTTACTATTAGTCCAAATTCATATTACGAGTATTTAGAGAATAAACAAACCTTCTAAGAGTAAATATTACTCCCATAGAACCTCGTACTAGGTTAACCTTTGCTAAGTCTCTGTTTAATAATATGTATTTAGTCTAATACTAAGTGCGTAAATTTAGTCTCAGCGTAAATTTACTTCAACGCTAAAACCTATTTATTATTAATATTGCATGAGTACCGAACAAAACTTCTACTAGTAAAACAGGCATTTAATGTTTTCCGATCATTTCACTGCATACCTACTGCACATCGGGTCACGACATAATGCCTTTTCGTAAGCGAAATTGGACATTAACGAATTTAAGCTTAAAATGAATTGAAAAAATTGAGAGTTCTGAGTAACCGTACAAGGTCTTCAGCAAACAGGAAAACGTATTATATTACAAGTGCCAATTCCACTTAGTACTTAAATTTAGTAACATTTTAATAATTTTCAAGGCTTCGAATCCTTTGTAGTGTTAATGTGTCTTATCCTACTTTTTGACATTAAAAATAGTAAGTTCGAATCGGCTGTGAGATAGAGGACGACCACGGTACAGAGGAAAGACAATTTTAAAAGTATAAAGCCTTGTTGATTTTCATATTTTAGTCTCATAATAATGACCCGTCCAAAAATAAACACATAAAACCCGTTCGAGTTTTTTATCAAAAGAACTGTTAGTATCTATAGATATTTATTTAATATTGCTGTATGCCGTAGGTGTAGAAACTCGTTAGAAATATTCTCATACATTATATTATAACTTATACATTTCTATGATATGTATGAACTATTAGATGTTATTAGATTTATTATTAACTTATACTTTTATAATGATAACAACTAATTCAGTTACAGAATTTGAATCTGTAAAAACTATTTTACTTGTACAAAACACTTTGTAGCCATAACCGATACTTTGTATAAAATAAAGTTTATTACTTTAAAAGGCGCTTATTGCTATGGCCGTGATTTCAATTGCATGTTACGAGTAAAGTAGTAAAAATTTTCGGCCAAATTGTTGTAGCAACAAAACAAAATTTCGACAATTGTTGTGATGCAATTTAAAACAAATCCAGATTAGTCTTAACAATTTCGAAAAATTAATATAAACACTGTATAACTATAAAGATAATTCATTACTATTTTATTACAAATATACATGCGCACACGCAACTAACACACATTCATACATACGTACTCTCATACATACACACCGGCATACAACAAGAAAAGGCAAGACAGAAGGAAAAAGAAAGAAAGTTTTACCTTAAGGCATGACAGGATGAGCGCGGCACCACCAACACGAGTAATCTTCTATTGTAACAATTATTGAATAAACCATTATTATTACTAAAATGGTACAAAAGTACGGATAGGAAGAAATAAAGTCTCCTCATTTATTTTTCCTAAAAAGAAAATTACATTTAAGCAACAGACTTTAGCCGTTGGGCGTTTAAATTATATCACTTCTATTATATAACCTCATTATAAACTGAATTCATATATTTTTATACTTCCAGCTCGAACTGGATGGTTCAATGTCGAACCTTTTTCTATAGCGATCTAAAAAAAAAAAATCAAAATATTTTTAATAAAACTTATCCTTTTCAGTTTCAGCACAAGAGTTTGACTGTCCTGACAAGACTGGCTTCTTCCCGGATCCATACCAATGTGACCTTTATTACAAATGCTCTAAAGGTTAGTATTATATATCATATACATACATTCATATAAAATTACTGGTGTTCACTTCATTTTCCTTAACAATTATGCTTAAATATGCTCATAATGACAACTATGAACATACTTTTGCAATAACTATTACGTCCTATCTATTTCGTGTTATATAGATAGGCCAATATGATGGAATTTCTTGGTAAATTAATTTCGCAGTAGCCACATAATTCGGTATCATTTTAAAATGTTTTTTTTTACACGCTAGGCCGACGCAGTTAGTAAAGCAAATAGAGTGTGAAAATTATTAGCTTTTGCCGTACTTATGACGTAGGCGAAATATTATTTCTTTTTCGTACAAAGTTACTCCACTTTGGCCATGTACCCAAGAACCGTAAAAACTTATATAACTTGCACTGTTATATGTCTAATTAGTGTTAATCGACCAATTTATTGTGGGAAATTACTATTTTAAAATATAATACTCAAACAGAATCTCTGTCACATTTTTATAGTAAGCATTAAATTGATATTTTGGTAAAAGACATAATACTTCGGTTAGCATAATTCCAGTGTCGGTACAAATTAATAATACTTAATATATAGGTCATATAAAAAATAGGCGAACCCATAAAACATCAAATAAGTTATAAAAATAATGATACTAATATTGTTAATATTTCTAACATAAACTAATTAACAATTGACAAATTAAACGAACTACAGATTAATTCCTTGCGATTAATAGTTAACATACACCCGGTTTCTGAATTGAGAATCTAAAGTTAAACATGTCTCAAACCGTAATTATGCCATCTTGAACGTCACTTAAACAGATAGCAGTTTGATAAAACTAGGACTTTGACTTGTGAAAAGTAAAAAGCTTGAGTTATTGAGAATAATCAGTTGAGTTTTAATACTTTGTCAATTCAGAAATAGTCCGATATTGTTTTATATTAATAAAGAATTAAGCTGTAAAAAATATTAAAGCAGCAACTTAATACTAGACATCAAAAAGTTTTAACTAAATTAGTATTTATTTAACCTTTTAAAAAAATAGTAATACTTGGTTTAGTAAGCTGACGTGCAGTGAAAGAGAGTATTGTTTCAGATGTGACATGAATATTAAATGGTTTAGATTTCTACTTTTTAACATTTCGAATGTAAAATGATATTACCAGAAAGCTAGTTACTTGTTACTCTTTAAGAGATTGTACCTACTTACCTAGAATATAACGAATGTTGTACAAAATCAAATTCAGTAATTAAATATAAATATTTAATAACATCACATACATTGCTCAGATTCCAAGATGAGTAGCTAAAGCCCCCGTATTATGGAGTATCCGAGTATTGAAATAAAAATATATGAAGCATATAACTATACTAATATTATTAGGCGGAAAGATTTTATTGTTTATTTGCATCGAATAGGCTCCGAAAAGAATTTCCAAAAATCATTCCACTAGGACTGGATATTACAAATTCTTTTGCCTAGGGGAAGCTACATCGTTTTTTTTCCTTGTTAAGGATTAAATTGTGTGTATTCTAGTGATCATTATCATTCGAAAACTAGTAACTATATTATGGCATATAAGTTAAAAACAAGTTTTTATTTTAGTTGCAAAATATTTTCTATATTCTCTCGGGTCTGGGTGTTGTGTTGTCTTAGATACTCCATAATACGGGAGTTTTAGCTACTCATCTTGGAATCTGAGCAATGTATATGATGTTGTTTAATATTTATTATTTTCTCAGGTGAGGCTGAAACGAAACTGTGTCCCGACGGTCTTGTGTTCGTCGATGGGAACCCCAACAAAGAACGGTGTGACATACCCTCAAACGTTGACTGCGGCGACAGGAAGGAATTGCGTAAGTTATCAATTTTAATAAATATAAAAAATACTACTGTTTCAGTGAAAACGGTACTTAATACTTTCACATATTAAGTATAAGAGTATTAAATCATATTAATAATAATAAAGCACCGTGAAGAGGGGCGGGTTGTTGTAACTAACGCTTTAGTATAATTAAACCATCAGTTATATCAAGGTCACGCCACATAGAAATAAAAACATTTTAACGATAATAAGTCTTTTAATAACATTACAAACTTCATATAGGTTCTAAAAATATAACATAAACGGTCTTTGATATTATAAAATTAAATCGCTTCGTTGAAAACCGTTATAGTACAGCAAATCACAATGGTTACTATTATATATCTTTTTTATCACTGTATAATAACTAAAGGCCTAAGTTATAGAAAATAATGTTACTAGGGGTAGTTATAATAAATTTGTTAGATATATGGGACGGACATAATATTATTACTCTCAATCTAAATATATGAAAACGATTAAAGGGGCTCAAGCGCTTTGGTACTATGAGCAATATCATTAAACTTCCTATATTAATACATATTTCTTTTTACTATTCTGTTGAAATGTCTAATAAATGCTAGAATAAAGCAAATATTGAAGGTACGGAATAAAGATCTAAATCGAATACATATTGTGTTTTTTCTTTTGTAATAACTTTCAGGCGGTTGCAAAATATTAAAATTTATTTTTACAAATATCAATAAATAGATCTGGAGATAAGTCTAGTGAAATGTATTAAAAAATAATCTTAATAGTATTGTTTTAAATTACAGAGGAGCCTAAGCCAACTAAAGATTGTCCCAGACAAAATGGATACTTCAAACATCCAGACCCACAGGTATATTTTATATATAAAATACATTTCATATTATTTATGACTGAATAATTAAGTAAGCTAATATAACTTTGAACTCAAATATAATTACTTTTACAAGGAAATCCACAATTATGTTTTATGGAAATTATACTTAGTAAGCGAATATAAAAATACAATTGTTATTATTATATATCCAAGTTAAGCCAATAGAAATAAAATTATTTTGGAAGAAAGATTATTTTGAAAAAAGAACTGAATGAATGATATTGATTTTGATATTTACTATTAATTTCATTAGATACTATCGAACTAGCATATTAAAAGTCAAGCAAGCAATAAATCACCGGTTACAATTACATAGGCTTCATGTCACGTCATCGTAAAAAAACTGGCCATAATCCACCACGCGTGCCCTTTTCGTCATTGCAAATGCACCCAGTTCAATGAAAATATCCTTTATTAAATAAGCTTATTAAAAGCACTTTTGAATTGTACAAAATGTTTTGCCTTACCTCTGGTTCGGGACTTCTTTGGTCTGACTAAAAGAACGAGTAAAAGTATCTTTCCTGCACTTTACCAAAACTAAGAACATTTAGTACTCGTCAGAATTAATATGACACCTTAAGATATTATCCTAAAACGAATTTCGTCTATTTTCAAAATGCTAATACGATTCCAAAGGAACGCATTTTTGAAAATAGAGTTAGGATCTGATACTGCCTCTGATGAACAGTTAAATCTTCTTAAATATTATTTTAAATCAAAATTTTCCGAATTATCTTTCAACGATAAATAGAATAGGCCCTTGGGTGTTATGTTATGTTATCATAGCATTACTAAAATAGTAGGTATAATATTAAAAATAACTATCAGTATCTGTACATTATAATGGCGACTTATTACGGCTTATAACGCTTTTCTGAGGACATAGAATTTCAAGAGTAAATTTTTATTCCACCGGTATTTGCGAACAGTCCAAACGTATTAACCTATGTGTCTCTTGTAAACTTTGCAGGCGTGTGATAAGTTCTACTACTGCTCCGACGGCGTACCCAATGAGCTTCCTTGCCCACCTGGCTTGTACTTCGACGAGGAAACTTCAAACTGCGACTGGAAAGATGTAGTCAACCGCCGCTGTGACCAGATCACCAAAGGTTCGTAGTCAAGTATCTCTATTATATATAGTATATAATTCACATTGGGCTCTTGACAGCATAAAAAACCTATAGATATAGAAGGAGACTTCTTACTTTATAAATTTCGATGTTTCAGTATGTTGAAGTATATACGCGGCGCGAAACTTCTAGCGATTGTTGAAACGAAATTCTGAGTATTTTTTCATTTAACTTACTTAAATAGCAAGCTTTAGAAAGCTCTTGCAAATCACTATCTCGTAAGGCCGGTTTCTAAATTGAGAAAAGTTTAAAATCTCAACTGATTATTTTCAATAACTTAACTTTTTTACGTTTAACATGGCAAAAAGGCCTAGTTTTATCAAACTGTTAAATCAATTTATCATTAAAAAAATAAAATCAATAACGAAAACCTGTTCAAATGGCATTTGAAATGGCTTAAGTACGGTTTGAGATGCTTAACTTTAAATTCTCAATTCAGAAACCGGGTGTTAGACTAATAAGATGACCATTGCAAATCTCAATATACAGTTTTGTAGCATAATAGGATTACATATTTTGATTGACATTATACTCTAACACAAATAAACAGTTATGTATTATTGTGGTAATACAAAATTTATTAAATATTAAATAATTTTGTAGACATTTTGGACGATGGTTTCACGTGCCCCGATGGCGAGGTGATGGGACCCAATGGACGCGCCCTTCCTCACCCCACATTCCCACACCCCGAAGACTGCCAGAAGTTCTACATCTGCCGAAACGGTGTACAGCCCCAGAAGGGTAGCTGCCCCTCTGGCAAAGTCTACAACGAGGAAACCTTTATGTGCGACGAGCCTGAGAAAGTGTCTGGATGGTAAGAACCGATTTAATTCCTTTAAATTCTATCTCAAGACTACTGCCAAAATGAGAAAGTTGTATTTCTTTGTGATATAATATTTCTTACGCATTTCTACATTAACACGCAATGACTGCACAACATTGAGAAAAATGAGAAAATTTTAAAGAAAATTTAGCAATATGGGTTTCAAATTAAAAGTCTTGATGAGTACATTAAAAAAACCTATTACCAAAATCAAACATCAAATATTTATAAAATCAAAAACACTATTACCGAAATCAAACTTAAAATAAAAGAAATAATTGGAAAAGCTTGGCTAATCGAAATCCTCATTGCAGCTGGGGCACCGTTCTGTGGAATATTTGTAATCTTAGCTTTTAGTTCGATTATTGCAGTCTTTATAAATTATTCGCATTATTTTTCAGTTTTGCATTGTATTTGCAAAATTGATCAAATATTATAATTATATATTTTGAAAAAAAATAGAACCTTTTTTATGGTAACTTTGTATATTTTTTGATATATATATATTTTTTATTACAGTGAAAACTACTATGACGGACAACCGCTCGAGAAGAATAAATTTCCGAAGAAAGCGTGAAATGCTTCATTAATTTAATTATTATAATGATAGATTATTGTATTTTCTAATTTAATAAATAAATTGACGATAGACATGTGCATGTTTTATTTACTTATTGATTAATTACGAGTTCAATGAAATACGAGGGTCAAACTGAAAGTTCTTAGAACTGGCCACTTATAAACAATATAATAAAAAAATAATTCTAAAATTTGAAAATATAACTCTTTGCCAATATTACTGAGTATATATTTCATTCATTTGTCATTTGTTTTACGATTTGGCGGCAAATTGAAAATTGTCTGTGTCACGTCATCATGAATTTAACACGAGAAAATTTTCGTGCAATGATTTTTTATGACTTTCGATGTCATTTAAGTCAACAAGAAAGTTATGATAGACTACGATTGGCCTTTCACGATGAAGCCCCATCTCGTGCGACTGTTTACAACTGGTTTAATGAGTTTAAACGTGGTCGCACTAATCTCACTGATGATTTACGTGAGGGACGGCCTTCTACGGCGACGACTGAAGATAACATCTGTGTTGTGCGGCGTATGATAGAGACTGACAAAAGAGTGACCTATCAACAGATTCGGACAAGCTTAGGCATCGGTATGAGTCAAGTGCACAAAATCCTCCACGAACATTTAGCGGTCAGGAAGCTTTGCGCCCGGTGGATACCTCATAATTTGACTGAGGCTCAAAAACTCCATCGTGTGGATTGGTGTCGTAAAATGATTGAAAGATTTAACGGAGGTGATACTAACAGGTGACGAAAGCTGGATTTACTGTTATGATCCTAAAACCAAAAGACAATCTGCTCAGTGGGTGTTTCCTTTCGAGGAGTTGCCAACTAAAGTGAAGAGAGATCGAAGTGCGGGAAAAAAAATGGTGGCCTCGTTCTTTGGAAGGATAGGTCATTTTGCAACAATTGTGTTAGAGGATCAAAAAACAGTTTCTGCAGAATGGTACACTACCAATTGTTTGCCACTTGTCTTGGAAAAAGTTCGAGAGAAACGACCTCGCAGTAGGATCCTCCTTCACCACGACAACGCCTCGTCGCACACCGCCAAGCGAACGATCGACTATTTGGCGACATCAAACGTTGAATTACTGGGTCACCCGCCGTATAGCCCCGACCTCGCGCCTTGTGATTTTTATTTATTTCCAAAAATTAAAGAAAAACTTAAAGGAAAGCGGTTTATGAATGCTGAAGAAGCGGTGGCTGCGTATCGCGATGCCATTGAAGAGACCCCTAAGGACGAGTGGGCAAAGTGCTTTTCCCAGTGGTTCCATCGCATGCAGCGGTGTATTGACGTGAATGGACAATATTTTGAAAAGATATAATAAAACTAATAACTGTCTAATGTAATCAGTTTTTGATTTTCTAAGAACTTTCAGTTTGACCCTCGTAAGAGTAGTTAATCCAAACTAATATTGACGTGAAACTGTATATCAATGTGTTTGTATAATATAATTTTAAAATGGAATAGAAAAGTAACTTATACACAGATTATATAGTTCATTTAGTTTTACATAAAAAAATTCAAAAATATCAAATTTTTGTTAAAAACTGTAGAAGCCCTTGCTGTCCGTTTGTTAAGATCACAAGGTCAAAGGAACATCATTTTATAGAATGTCAAGTGAATGGGATTCATAATGGATTCAGAAATAATTTGCGACTTACTTCCTTTCTTCTTACTTTTCATCTTAACATTTTAAATGTCCCAATTGGCAACACCTTGCCTTTGTAAAGGACCACAATAAAACCGATATCATCAATAAACTTGTAGTTTTAAACATTTTTGCTTGCCTTTTTCTGTAGGAGGACACGATGAATTACTTTCAATAATCAGAGGATATCAAATACCAATATCCTCATCGAGTTTTAAGGAAATAATATTTTATTAATTTAGTAATTATGCAAAAAACTTATATTTTTCACATGTCAGTCAAATCAATTTGATTTGTTTTTAAGCTCTAGACAGGCTCATACGTATCACAATTAAAGGAGTTTTCAATTTCACAAGCCATTCAACTTATTGACGGAAATAAGACTGTCACTTAACATAAGTGAACTTCAAATGTGGTGAAACCAGATCCTTTTCTTACTTTTCGCTTTTCCAACTATCTATTGATTTTATTTTCTGCGATATCTGGTGTTTTTCAGGTGTCTGCTGATCTGCCTGATCTGGGAATGATACGTACTAAAAAGAGGTTGTATATATGCGCAACCTCAAACGTCCTTAAAATCTAATAAAATGAAATAAATCTAAAAGAAGAAAAATTTCGCGATTGTCATTTGTCTATTTTCACCGCTTTTATAATTTAAATTATTCTCCATACTTTTAACAAATTAACCACAAAGAAAAATACCCTTCAATCCGCATTGGGCCAGCGTGGAGGGTCATGGCCCATCCTCCTTAACCATCCATAAGGAAGGCCTGAGCCCCTGCAGTGGCCTGCAGTGGGGACGTCAAAGGGCTGGTGAGAACAGAACAGAAAGAAAAATATCCGCTTTATACGAATCATGATGATGCTCCTTGTTCGGTTTCCAATCGGATTGATTATAATCGGAGTATCACGTGCACTCCAATTTGTTTTTCTTTTGATCTTATTGCTGTCACTAACTCATATGACCGACGATAAAAAAGTCCATTGAATGTCTATTTTAAGAGTAGGTACTCTAGCAACTTATTCTAATGGTGGAAGTGGGTGGCGCAATGAAAAAAACTGGTAGAACTCCTCAGTCTTGATTTATTATCAATTAGTATTACATTAGCACACTTACAACCAAAAACTATGATACTCTCTCTAAACTGGTCTCGATCAGAAAGGGAAGATTGACAACCAGCACACACGAACACGCGAATTCGAATACAAAAAAGAAATAATTTAAAATATTAACGGCCAGCATTGAATTGACCATAAACCGTCCGAAGAGTAAACCTGCTTATAGTAATGTACCCGGACGTTACAATACCTATAGGACCTGGCACTTAAATAAAAGTTAACACCACATTGAATAGGTAGTAAGTAGGGCAGTCAATATAATTGAAACTATATTGGTAGTAATTTTTTTTTATAAAACATTCGATTGTCCTTGCCGTAAATAGATCGAGATAATTCGAATCAATAAGAATTAGAAACATAATCGCACCTTATCATTTGATTCTATTGCAGTCATGCACGCATATATGTTGATCAATGCAATACAATTTTAGATATGTTGACATTTGTTCTATATAATTAACATATTTATTTTATCATGAAATTAAATTATTTGCCTATTTCATTCATATTTTTAATCAATAAATGAAATGTAATTATTATTATTATGTTGTAGAGTTATAGAGTTTAAAATTTATATTGCAATAACAAACATACAAATTTATTTTTATCTATATCAGTTTTAAGTATTATTAGTGTCACTTTCTCTTGTTTATCTTGTAAATTTATACTTAATATCTATACTAATATTATAAAGCTGAAGAGTTTGTTTGTTTGAACGCGCTAATCTCAGGAACTACTGGTTCGAATTGAAAAATTCTTTTTGTGTTGAATAGACCATTTATTGACGAAGGCTTTAGGCTATATAACATTATGCTGCAACTATTATGAGCGAAGAAATAATGGAAAACGCGTACGAAGTCGCTGGCGGCCATATATATATATTATGTTCCATATAGAATTCAATGTTTATTGCAATTTAAGTATTAGGGTAGACTCTGTTTAGGTCAATCTAAGATTAGCACCCAGTTTTGACCATTTTAAGAGATACAAACAATTGAATTTTTACACATAACATGTAACAACGGTATTAGTTTAGCCATAATTAAACATATTAAAGACCGTACAAGGTAAAATAATATATTTGCCTATGCATTAGTTACAACGCTTTGAAGGCCAAAAAGGAGTCAGTAGCCATATATCGTCTGCCAGTAGCCAAAAAGGAATCCTCTGCCCTACCATCTTTATAGAAAAGCGCATTATTAGTTGCATCATGTTTGCTCTTCAACACATCTTACAACAGAGAGGTCTTTTTCTTTTCACAGTCATTGGAAGAGCTCTTGCTCTATGGCCATCAACAAAAACTTGTTGATTGACACCGTATCGAAATTTGGACTTGAAAAACTATTGTGCGTCGAACCAGTTAGCTGAGCTTTGTTACTTCAACTATTGCATAAGCTGCTACAGTTCTTGTATGTAATTGAATTGTAAATAGATTACATGCAGGAGTAGAACAAATAATAAAATATTTTCTCTGTAAAAGATTAGTATTAATATTATCATTATTAGCCTTTTTACATCCCCACTGTTGGGGCTCAGGCTTTCCTTATGGATGGTTAAAGAGGATAGGCCATAACACTCAATTTTGGCCCAATGTGGATTGGAGGGTATTAACGATTGCAAATGCAGCCGGGAATAATTGCTTAACGTGCCTTCCGAAGCACGGATTAGCTCGAGATAATTTTTTTTGGTCACCCATCCCGTGGCCGACCCTTGCGAGATTTGCTTAACAATAACGATTGAGGGCCACGGCGCTCATTCAATTCGCCACAGATTTATTCAATATCATTATTTTCGTATTAACATAATCTACTAGAAAGACAAGTCGAGCAGCTATTCCTGATTGCACCTGCAGTCTCTAATGACTGGTTTACATGGATTAAGTTGATATGAGTTACCTACATTGTTAACAAAAAAAAAAATTAAATTAAAGTACATGTATGCACACATTAATCACTAAAAATTAAGTTACCTACTTGTCAACTTAATCCCTGTAAACCAGCCATAACACCTACCAATCCGCATCGGGCCCGCGTGGTGGTGGGGTCATAGCTCGTTCTTCCTATTTAATTCTATCCACAGGAAATGCCTGTATCACAGCAGACAATAATACGCTGATAATTTATAAACTAGGAAAAAAGTTTAAATTGGAAAAGAAATATTCAAATTACAATCAATAAGTCTATGAAAATTTATTTAAATTTAATCAATGTTATTGTGTTCTATAATAAAAGCAATAAGTAAGTGGATGTAAAATTCTTATCTATTCTAATATTATAAAGCTAAAGAGTTTGTTTATTTGAACGCGCTAATCTCAGGAATTACTGAAAAAATCTTTTTGTGTTAAATAGACCATTTATCGAGGACGGCTTTAGGCTATATAACATCACGCTGCAACTATTAGGAACAAAGAAATAATGGAAAACGCGGATTAAGTCGCTGGCGGTCACTAGTAAACAATAAATATATGTATACAAATTATAATGACAACGACATCTGTCTGAATACGAAAATATTTTAAAATTTAGTAAAAGGGTTAAATTTATGTTAGCTTTCAGTGTTATGCTTTTGTTAACGATAAACTTAAATTTATATATATTAGTCCATTGATAATTGATATACAAAGCATGCCTCGCTCGCCCGTGGCTGTTTTTCGTAATAAGTCACTACTTGTACCCATAGTACATGCGCTATTCATAGTCTGGAGCACAAGTCTAGACTAACAGCTGGTTTCTGAATTGAGAAAAGTACAAAATCTCAACTGATTATTCGCAATAACTTAAGATTTTTACTTTTCACAGGTGAAAAGTCCTAGTTTTATCAAACTGCTATCAACTAATTATTAAGAAAACCAAAATTAGAAATATAAACCTGCTAAAGTGACATTTAAGTACAGTTTTAGACGTTCATAACTTTAATTTCTCAATTCCAAAACCGAGTGTAAGTTTCTGATATTAAAATTGACAGACAACGTACAGCTGAAACTTATGAGCGTAGAAAGTTGAAGTTCGGAATGAAAATTCCTTAGGGAGTGTAGAGGAGCACTAAGATAAGGATTTTTGAAAATTACACCCCGAAGGGGCTAAATTAGGGGATGCAAGTTTGTATGAAATTTCGTTACTATAAGTATAAGGATCAAATTTTGCATGCGAGTTTTTTTAGAACGTAGGTGTTCACTAAGACGGGATTTTAGGAAATTCGATCCCTAAGGGGGTTAATTAGGGGATGAAAGTTAGTTTTTACGGAATTTTCTCGTTTTTAGACTTAAAACTGGACTACGCGGGCGAAGTCGCGGGCAAAAGCTAGCATGTAATTTATATAAATATTTAATTACAAATTTGACAACATCAAACATTACCATTATATAGCGAACTAATTAATATGGAAATGTGAAACAACAAAGTTACGTACCACAATAAATATAAAAAGTTTAGTTCGACTATTTCGAATTCCCGTCTTATATTATATAAAAATATAAGACGGGAATTCGAAATAGTCGATATACAATTATAGTCAATATATTAACGAGATTTGATTATTAAAAGGTGATGTACGAAAAATACGTAAGAAAACCTATAAATTGCCAATAGAATTAGACGTTTTTTAAATACTTTATTTGATCTTTTTCTATAATAGTTTAAATCTCTGTGCTAATATATCAATGAAATTTTATTAGGAACGTCATGTCATGATTCTGTTTTCGTATTAGTTTCGCAGGATTTTTTTTTATGTGCAACTATGATTATAACATTTCTGAACCCTTCATTGAATTGAAACTTAAGTCTAAAATATAATGTAAAAACGAACCCGCACAGTCCCTACTATAAGTGTGGTGGAGGAGCAACAGCGGGCGCCGCGACGCCTGCGCGCGCACCAGTGCCGCCGCTCCGCCGACCACGCGTACACGTTTTACAGACATGAATAGTGCAACATTTGTGATTTTTGCCGCCACCGTTGCGTTCGGTAAGCTTACCTGTTTATAAAAAGTTAATAATAAAACTTTTTATCTAGTATTTGTTTTTTTTTTAAATAATCTTGATTTCAAATTTCGTTTCTATTTTCAAATGTAGATAAGTAATTAAAATTTTCTTGATTGAGAATGACCTTGAAAGTTATATTGGATATCTTAAAAAGCTTGAATCACTATGTAAATATTGTTTACAATTAATCGATACTGATTACTAAAATCTTAAGAATATTTATATTTCAATATGACTATTAATAAATTAAACATGTTTGGTGACTTTTCCCTAAAGCAATTTTATATGGAACTTGCATAGCAACTAAAGTGTACTTACATAAGATAGTGCGTCTTTCATGAAATAGAATTAATTACTTAAAACTGTTTGCGAATTAGCTAATAGTTGCAACAATTTCAAAGTGTGCCACGAGGGCTGTTGTACCATTTAAACTGTTATGTACAACAAGACAGCAATTATTGAAACTTGTATAGCAGGTTGGCGGGAAAACGAGAATTCGGGCACTTAACTACTGTTACCAAATTGTAATCTTAAATTACCAAATTGTTGTACGTATATACCTTTTAGATTTTATTTATGACCGTTACTTCGTCTACATCTACGGAGTTTACGGTAAGTTTCACAAACGTCCATTAAAGTTTAAAGACGCCTTTAAACTCTTATGAATGTCACATTTGTATGGGTGATGTCGCTTAAAACGAATGAAAATTTTAATGAACGTGCAATTGGCTGTTTGAATCATAACCCGTTTGCAAGTTTTAAAATTGTAGTATTTGTGTTAATCTTGAAAATAGGTTAAACACTTAATTGCTCTTTTTTCAAATAAATATTTAGAATCAGTTCAATATGTATTATTCTTCCATACTTCTTGATTAGCCGTCATTCCACATTCACACCTTTCACGCTTAATATCTCTCACACAGTTTATCATTTTTTTTCCTCGGTCTTCCTCTCTTTGTAGTTCCTTCCTCGAATATCATCATAACCCCTTTTGTCATATGCAAATCATCTCTTTTCATTATATATCCATACCAATATAATGTTGTTCAATTTTCAAACTTAACTAATAACAGATTAAAACTTAAAATCGACTTGAGAAATTTGGCCCTTTGTAATGACCTGTCATCTGTGTACCTACCAATAAATTGAATTTCCGAGGCGAATTTATCTAAAAGTAATAAAAGAATCTTATAAAAATGTAATTAACATATCATTAAAGTTAGAATGATTATTAATTACCTTATACTCGTTTTTATTGAGTCTCTTATAGTCAGTACAATATACATGGTATCAATCCTGTAATTAATAATCATATTAGTTTAAAAAAAACTTCCCGTGATGCTACTGGTGGCACTACTTTTAGCGTCACTGTTAACCCAGTGGTTTCGTCAAATGGTTGACTTGAATATTAATTGACATCTGTAATCGCATACACTACACATTACCATTGCTTTATTACCTAAATCTCGATTACCATCGATTACGATCATCGATTACCTAAAACCATCGAGTTCCTAAAATAATTCTTCATTTCAATACCGATTATAGCACGGCCTTTTAGTAATAATTATCGAATATAGAGCCATTTTCCTCGGTGCTAGTTACTCAACAGATTGGAAAGGTACCGGAATTTGAACGAGTCAAGGCCCGCTACTGCGCTCTGTGTGATATTTAAAAAACAATTGGGCCACAAGAAATTGATTTATCACTTCCATTGAGAAATAACTGCAAACTAAATATTTTAAGGGTCTGTGAAGTCATAAAGTTCGATTTCGGAATAATGTTTATAGTTTTGGATAATTATGATGACAACGTAACACAATTAAGGTGACATATGACAAAGATATATATTATATTGTTAGTCTGAGTAGAACCTTAATGAGTTCAATTACAAAATGTGCATTGATATTAAAACTCGAATGCCTAAGTGCTATAATCTTCATTGAGAGCCGAGAGTGGCGACAGAAAAGAATTTTAGAATTGTTAGTCTTTGATTAAAAAAGTTTATATAATTAAAGATGAAGGCATATATACCCATATATATATCAAAAACATAATATATAGGTATATATATTATGAGTATATCATTAAAAATATCATTTTGATGTTATAAAGAAATAGTAGTTCCTATTATTTATGTCTTAGAAAAATGAGGGGGAAAATCGGTTGTTACAAAGACAAATGTACGTAAAGTAAAGTACTTCTCTCGAAAAAAGACTAAAATCCAATTCCAATACAATTCTGTTGTGTGTGCAGTATGTGTTTTATAAAAGAAGTATTATAGCCTTTATTACCCGTGTATGATGTAGTAGGTTAAAGTATTTTTATAATCGGATCAGTATTTCCAAAGCTTTATAATACTAGTACCTAAAAATTATTTTGATATTTTAATTTAATTAATTGAAATTAGATTTTGAACTTAAAGTTTAAAATTAGTAATCAGCTAATAATGTAGATATAAAATTTAATTATAACAACGAGCGGTACATTCATTTAAATTAAATATTTACCAAAAACAACTAACAATATCAAGCTAAGGACTTTGTTTTTAATGATATCAATAAATCTAGATAAATGTTAATTAATTCATAATTACTCTTTTAATTAGAGACCTTCAAAGCCACTGGTGAGATAATAAAGATTCACATTCACACTTCGTTTAAAATTGCATTGTGTTAGTTATTTATATCCATACTTAGGTATGTACTGTGAAATCTATAAAGACGTTACACTTTGAATGTCATACGGCCAGTTGCACAAGCATCCATTAAGGTTTAATGACGCCTTTAAGCTCTAATGATTGTCAAATTTGTATGGGTAATGTCGCTTTAAAATAATGAAATTTTTAATGAACCTTTGTGCAACTGGCTGATAAACTATTAGTTCATAACCAAAACATTGCCACATTTTTCAATAGCCCTTCTTTCTTTTATTTCTACTAGACGTTAGGTACTGGACTTCTTAAAGATGTCATCTTTGTGAAGAACGGGATTAACATACTTCACAATATTTAATAAATAATTTATTATTTGTAAATTATGATATTATAATAGCAAAGAATAATGATATGAAATATATTTAGTATAGAAATTATATATCAATATAAGATTTTGAGCTTAGAAACAGAACAACTTAAGATTTAGCATTCTTATACTATAAGTCCGTTACACAAACGTCCATTAAGTTAAAGCGACATTACCGATACAAGTTTGACATTCATTAGAGCTTAAAGGCCTTATTAAACCTTAACGGACGTTTGTGCAACTGACCGTATATCAATCAATTCAAATTTTATGAAGGAATTATTAATATTATCAATCGGCTGTATTGCAGATATTATAATAGGTTCTTTACGATTAATATACGCTTTCTCATTTATTATTATATATAGTATATTTAAGGTAAACGTACAGCAATACGAATGGATCTGTCTTTATGACAAATGTCATCATAGCAAATTTATGACACATCGTCTTTCCACTTCTAATCGTATTATATCAGTCTCAAACAGCTTTTGGCATATCATAATTAATTTTCAATTTCGTATTGTAATAAGTAACTGGAAATTACTGTCTCAAGTGTATATCCGTATTTCTACATCTCGCTGTACCTTGAATATGACAATTGCGCTGACAAGTGACGTCACAAATGTCTCATGAAAGTTTGTGAGTTCAATGAAACAAAACTTCAAGGTTACAATGCATACTTTGTAGTTTAATTGAAAAGTTTTGAAAAATCTTTTCTATAGAAATATGGACAAAAACTAATTTAAAAAAAAAATATTGGTTATGCTGGGTACTAAGTTATGTTCCATTTTAATTATATGTTTCATACGACCCTTGTATTCACTCTTCTTTAGTAAACAATGTAATTTACTAAAAACGAGATGAAATGGTCTATCGATGACATGGATTATAATAAGTTTTAGAATATTTTTACTGATTAGTATGTTATTAATGTCTTCATTAGTAGCTCGGTGGCATAGTGGATAACTTTGGCAAGGGTCCGTCATGGGTGAACAAAAAAAGATTATCTCGAGCTACTCCGTGCTTTGGAAGGCACGTTAAGCCGTTGCAGTCATTAGTACCCTCCAATGCGTCATGGCCCAGCCTCCTTAATCATTCATAAGGAAGCTCTGAGCCCCTGCAATGGGGACGTCAAACCGCCGGTGATGCATACATCATGAAGACATATCTTCATTAGACATCAACAATCCTACTAATATCCCAACCGCTAGGGCACAGGCCTTTCCTAGAGATGGACTCCAAAAGGTGAATCGGTTTTATTCCACCACTCTGGCCCAGTGTCTTAACGAATGCAGATGTAGCTTGGACCTGGATATTAATTATTTGGTCACCCATCCTATGACCTGCCCTTACGAGAATTGCTTAACTTTCGAGTCGCAGACCACACCAATCACGCTGACTGGCTATAAAAAGACAATTTGAACATACTTAAAAGTACTTTCGATGAAAAATCATAAATTTTTACCTACCCATGATACCTTCAAAGAATTTACTTACGATAACTAAGCGGATTTGTAATAAACCACTTTTAATTGCAAAATGACTGGCTACGAATAATGCAAACAACGTTTATACGTAATTGATCGGAAATTAAGTGTTAATATTTTGTAATAATCACCATTCCCCCGCAGTTGCTCGGGAAGTAAAATCGTTATCAAGGTAATAAATAACTCATCAAGAAAAGCCAAACTACAATGTAGTTGTTTCGTTTACTATAAACAAAGGAAGTTACACACCGTGGCTTATTAATTAATTAAAAATGCGCAATATCCATAAACATATTTTAACATCAATTGAAATTGTATTTGGTGGCGCAAAAAGCTTATTATAATAATTTAAATTGTCCTAAACATAAAATAAAATATGTACTTTTTAAAAGTAAGTAAGTAATTTTTTTTTCGGTGTTATTTAGGATAGTTGTGATTCAATAAGACGTACTCCATAACGTTGTTTAAGA